TTGTTGGCATTCATGTATTTGCTAGTTAGTAACTGTGTTGACGTTCAAATGAACTAAGTGGCAAGTTGAGTTAGTTGTGTTCTAGACAAGATTGCTTAGTTGAGGTTGATCTTTAGCTTTTCCTTGAAAAGTGATTTAGTCATGGACTATGCTAACTCTATAAGTGGAAGAGTTAGTGATCGATGTTCAAATGGTTGAATCTTTACTGGATTTGAATTGGAATATATTGATCATTGATGATTCTTCTTGTGCTTGTTATGAAGTGACTTACATCTTGCTATAGATGGATTCATGGAGGATCGTTTGGTGATCATTTGTTGAGCATAGCTTTGCTATGTTTAGCTTTTGGATTGATGCAGAAATGCTCTTCATTAGCTTTGCATTATAAAGTTTGGTTTATGGATATGTTGAGGAGGATATTGTGGGTTGCACCATGATTTTTTCTTTAGCATTGAAGTTGGTTCATGCAAGACTTGTGATCATTGTTAAACAAGATATAGCTATAAGCTTCTTCGAGCTTTTGGTTCTTTGAGTTTTATGCTCGTTGTTCCATTTGTTAAAAGTTGTTGGGGAAGGCATTGTTGGCTTCTTAGCTTCGATATTGAAATTGGCTTTTGCATCTAGCAATCATTGATGATGATTGACTATCCTCTAGGATAATTAATTATCCTTGTCAGAGGTTTTGCTTGATTATCATTGATATAAAATGATTTGCCATTCTTCAGAATGGTGAATTTCTTCTTTCATGATGATTCTGCATCTCTCTATTGACGGGATGATTGATGATATTTCATGATGGTTAGTTATTCTCTTTGATGGCTTTTGGCTTCTCGCATTATCACATATTCTTTGTGGTTTGCTTTGGTTTGGTCTTTTGGGTTTGAGACATCAGTAGGATGTTGCTGACATTTGCTTTAAACAACTCTAGTTCCTTGGTATTGTTGACCGGGATCTATTCAGATTGGCTAGTGCAATGGTTGATATGAACAAGTGTTTATTGGTCTTGCAACATTCATTCTGTTCTGTTGATCATTGCTTGAGTTAGTTCTGATAGATTGGGATGTTATTTCTTTTGGGTGATACATTCGCGAGCATTTTGTTTGCCAGTTAATGATACTTTGTGTTCTTTGAGTTATCTTTAGTAAATTGTTTGGCTTACTGTCTGCCATCTTTGGCAGTTAAGTTTCATCATTGAGTTTCCTTGATGATATACTTGCTATTGAATTTTGTTGGATGGTGCATTCTATGTTTTCCAATGATAGTGATCTTGGTGGTTCCTATTCTATAATACTAGTTTATCGGATGATAACTTACTTGGAATACTTTTGTATTCTAATCTAAGATATATTCACTGATAAATAAGTCTTTAAGATATCATTGTCTATGACTTGATATTGTCCATTTATGGATTTTTGAGTTTGGGCCAGTATAGGTAGACTAGCTTCGGCACTTCGTGTGCATGTTGAAATCTTTAGTCATGGGGTAGCTACTGTCGACTGGCCACATCACCCGCCTCTCTGTCGATGTTCCTTATTCTGTTGAAAGGGCGTGACCGTATAAACAACTCTAACTGCCTATTTATATTAGTCTATCTAAACCTTACTGACGGGTTTGGTTTATTTGCTCAGGAGGGTTGGGGCCTCTGGCTTCTCTCTCTATGTTCCTGCAGGCAGGGGCATATCACACTTTTGTAAGCTGGGTGACTCCTAGAGCAGCAAGGGTGGCTGACTCCGTTGGTCATTTCCTTGTTGGCGACGGCCGGAAGGTGTCTGAGTGGGTAGCACATCCGCATTAGACATAGAGGTTGCTTCATAACTCATTTAAGTTGGTGCATTTCTCACATAGTGTGAGTACCGTGAACTTTTTCTGGAGTTGTTTCCTTGGCGGTATTCTAGACTCGAGTATGCATCGACAAGGACGTCGATCTTCCTAAGGGGGGGAGAGTGTCGCGAATGTGACTTCGGGTATCGAAAGTTACTTGTCGACTAGTCCTTTTGGATATTCTTTCCTTACTGCCACGATGGCAGGAGGTTGGTACTACTGGACCCATTATCAGTTTCCCACTTGAGCTAGTTGAGAAACTGGTTAATGACCATGTACTTAGATCAGATAAACATAAGGTAGGAACCCTATGTGTTTCTTGCTGAGCATACTCGGCCTGGTTTGAGAAACTTTTGTCATTGGCTTGCACTTGCTAGTATTAAAAACCCTCATGATATTGAGCTTGGTCCCTCAATATTGTTAGGTGATAGCTTACCGTGTCTGCCAAACACCCTCGCTATCATGCCCTTTGTGTTAGTCTCATTCCGGTCCTAAATACTAATTATGGAAAGTGTCTAGATTTGCTCATTTGGCATATCTACGGAATGTAGATATTGATCTGAACACAATGGTGTTCATCCCATGTCCAAATTCGCATTCTAGCGCCATTCCATATTTAGTAAATTTCGAGCTTGTCCCAGAGACTAACTCCTGATACTAAGGGAGGCTTGGGGTGAAAGCCCAAAGCGTGTGTTCCTCAAGGGGGGGGGGGGGGCTGTGGGGGGTTCCAAATGTATAGTAGGGATAGTGGGTAGGTCAGGCATGGCTGACCAACCTGAGGCATAGTTTAGCTCCCGCTTGCGTGCATGTCCTTGTTCTGCATTTGGCTTGGGTCTAAGCCCAAACTCCACACCATGCTAGCTGGTGGAGTAACCATATCCTCGCGTTAGGCCATCAGTATGCTGAAATAGCCCTAGACTTCGTTTGACTCTGTTTTGTGTGCTGGTCCTGGCATTGGGATGCTGGTTGCTCTAGGACTGTTCCAAGTCGCTCCGCGCTCCTATCCCTTCACTCCTTGGGCTATATACTTGGGAGTTACTCCGTGGTTCGGTTCTATCACTCCCTGGCTCCATGCTTGGGGGTTTGGCACCGTTCCTTCGTTCAGTGGCCCAAGGCCCTGGAACTCGGGTTCCGCACCACGTTCCTTTGGACACGTGGCATGTGACACATGGCATTTGTCACGTGGCACAAAAAGGGTTTAGGGTGTTATCCTATGGTAAATCACCATAGGATAAAGGGTAAAAACCACGTGCGCTTCTCTTTTGGGGATCCCCTCTAGGCTTTCTCAGCACTCGATGCAAGCGGTCCTTCTGTGACTTTCGCTTCAATCTTGCTTTAACTAACTATGATCATTCTACAGATTTGGAGGAGTTTTCTGGAGTAATTTGCTTGGATCTCCCACCATCGTTGCAACAATGGTAGAGTCGGCCAAGTTCTTTCTCAGCTGCGCAGACTGTGGCCCCTCAGGTCTGTTTGCCCGATTGCTTGGGCCAGAAACTATAAACGAGGTCATCGGGAGTCAGCATGCGCTCTACTGGAGAATCTTTCTGGGGCTGATGGTTCCAGAGGCGCTCAAGTGCCACGTCCAAATGATTGATATCTTGGCTCAGGATACTCTCGAGTCATGGGGGTTGAAAAAGACGGTGTCGGTTATGGAAGAAACTCTCAAGGTTTTCATCACATCTTTGTGTCGCTTGATCGTTTGATCTGGTTTTATACTTTTGCTAGTTCAGCTACTGCACGTTGATTGGATTAGTGTGCAAGAAACTCCTGCCCTCCACTCCGGAGATGATTGATCTCATGAAAGACGCCCAAACGATAGAGAATGGGGTGCTCCAGTTTCCAATCGACTTACCCTTCTCACCTTATCGCAAAGCGTTACAGGTTTTTGCGTGGTTTTTTATTTTTCTAATTCTAGATCTATTGTTGTAATTGAGCAGGCCAGGGCAAGGCTCCATAGATTCTTGGATGGGCTCATCAACGAGAGAAGGGCCGAACTAGCTGCCAACGGTGAAAAGCGCAAAGATGCGCTAGACGAGTTTATTACGCACAAAGATGACAAGGTTGGATTCCTCTCGAATCAACAAGTGGAAGACAATCTCGTGACACTGCTGTTCGGAGGCCACCACACCACAGCCCTTGCTCTCGTGTGGCTGATGAAACACTTGAATGGGAACCCACAGGCTTTCAAGGAAGTGGAGGTTATTATTGTTATTATTATTATTGTGATTTTCTAAAATTCTATTTTGATTTCTAGGAGGAGCAAAGGAGAATCTTTCTTGGTAAAAGCTCCACCAATTACAACTTAACTTGGGAAGACACAAGCCAAATGCCAGCTACTCTAAGGGTTGTGGACTAAACTCCAATTTTATGTTAGATTTAATTCGAGTGCTTTCGTAGGCTGTCAATGAAATTCTGAGGCTTTCTAATGTTGTGGGGGTGGTGACACGTAAACTCACTAAGGATATCAGCTACAAAGGTTTTATTACATATGATTGAAGCTAATTCCAATTATTTGTGTACTTTGTTGGTGTTAATAGGTTACACCTTGCCCAAAGATTGGATGGTTCATGTCTATATGCCACCAATCCACTTAGATGACAGCATTTACCCTAATGCAGCAAAATTTAATCCATCCAGATTTGAAGTATGGTATTTTTCGTGTTTATACTAAACCAAACCTTTTATTTTAGGTTCCAGCTAAAACTGGCACATTTATTCCATTTGGCTATGGAGATAGAATATGCCCAGGAAGTGCATTAAGTCTGTTAGAGCAAATGATTTTCATACACAGGCTTATCACAAAATACAGGTAAATTCTTTTGCTCCTCTTTTCTTGTCAACAAATTGTAATATTTTATTGAAGATGGGAGCCTGTCAATCCAAACAGTAAAACAAGCTACTGGCCAATGCCATCCGTGAAAGATGAATACCTCGTACATGTTATGTCCATTTAGTAAGAAATAATAAGAAAATAAAGTAAATTCTGCACAATTGAAAAGAGAATGTTAAGAGCGCTATTCTGATTAACTTTCTTGTCTCACCTCTATTCAAATTCCAAAGCTGTGATCTTCATAGTAAACAGGCTTGTTGCTGATTATCATGCAGTCATGTTTCCAAATCGAAAACTGATGAGGGCCTTCATGGACATTGAGAGCGGCGCCAACTCAATGGCCAGTTCCTACATTTCCACTGCACAGCAAGAGAGTACTTAATTCACTGTAGGCAAGAAAACACTACCGTGACAATAGTTAAGTTCAATTCTCCACGAGGAGAACAAAGCCTGGAGTATTCTCTGGGAAAACTGCTTGATCAATCGATATGTGCCCCTAAAATACAAACAAGTCAGCTAAAAAGACAACAAATGATCCGGAGGGTGCCTTTAAAACTCGCGTATCTCCCATTACACGGACAAGCCCTGGCACGTTAAGGTTAGCAAAGAATACCAAGGCTTGTCTTTACCAGCAGGACATGCCTGAGGGATGCTATCGCGCGCTTGGAAAAGGTACTCCAAAATGAACAGTCCTAGTTATATCATTGTTCCATCTGTATATTGTGCGCCACTGTCGAGCAAAAGCAGATTTTCATCATCCACTAAGGCTCCGTTTGCACCAATCCTGTAAGGACTGGTAAGAGCCGACAATTTTGCAATGGTAGAAAATACAAGCCACAAATTGTATCAAAGCTAGTTTCTAGAAATCCTTCCTTGTTGGAACGAGAGCAGAGAAGTTCATCACCAACTTCCACCTCCGTAAGTTTGGCTTTCTCAGTAACGCAAGGACATGGGTACTCCACCAGCTAGCATGGAATGGAAGCCCAAAACTCAACCAGCATCCCTGCTCGGAAAGACCCGGTTACAATTGCAAAGAAAACGACGGAACTTTTACCTCAAGTGTTCTTGTTTCATCCCTGAGATCTCAGCAGCATTTTTTATGGCCTTCGGCACAGATAGCGGCAATGGTCTGTGTAATACAGCCTGTCCATCTGATGTTCCATTTTTCCTGTCGAACTTGAGGCATAGTCTAGCTCCTGCTTGCATGCTTGTCCTTGTTCTGCGTCCGGCTTGAGTCTAAGCCCAAGCTCCACACCATGCTAGCTGGTGGAGTACCCATATCCTCGCGTTAGGCCACCAGTATGCTAAAATAGCACTAGACTTTGTTTGGCTCCGTTTTGCGTATTGGTCCTGGCATTGGGATGCTGGTTGCTCTAGGACTGTTCCAAGTCACTCCGGGCTCATGTCCCTTTGCTCCTTGGGTTATATGCTCGGGAGTTACTCCATGGTTCGGTTCTGTCACTCCTTGGCTCCATGCTTGGGGGTTTGGCACCGTTCCTTTGTTCAGTGGCCCAAGGCCCTGGAACTCGGGTTCTGCACCACGTTCCTTTGGACACGTGGCATGTGACACATGGCATTTGTCACGTGGCACAAAGAGGGTTTAGGTTCCGCTTCGTGGTGTTATCTTATGGTAAATCACCATAGGATAAAGGGTAAAAACCACGTGCGCTACATTTGGTATCAGAGGATGAGTCTCAGCAAGTAGTATTCAATGAGATTGGGCAACTAGTCTCGTTACATACGCAAAGATGAAAACGATGATTCGAGTGGGTACACGTTTGGGTGCAATGACTTCGCAATCGTTCCTTGGGTATGGTTTTGGTTACCGTTTTGTACCGTATTATATGAGCTTGCTCTTGGGCTCATAGGAAGGATTGAGTTGTTCCAGTAGCACGAGTTTGCGCTTGGGCTCGTGAGTGAGGCACATTAGCAACTCAATGTTACACTTTGAGTTGGTAGGATTAATGTTAGCCTATCGGTGGTTCTATGAGTTGTTCCTTGTACCATGGGTGAAAGCAAACTCCTTGGGTTTGCTATGAGTGGCAAATAGGCTGGTCCATAGCTATTTAGCACGGCACTAGTGGATCCTTCCTAGGCATGATTACAAGTGGATCAATCAAGACTGTAGGGATAAGTCTGTTGGTTCAAGTAGTCATTGCCATGCTCTCTTATAAACTTTTCTTGGATTAAACTGAAGGCAGTGTGAAAGCAAGCTTAAAGTTTAGTCAAAGATGAGACCGAAAAGAGAGTCGTCAAGGATGAAGGATCAAACACGTAAATCATTTTCTCTTCTTGAAGAAATGATTTGCAATGAGGTGTTAACTCATTGCTTATATTCACATTATGCAATCAAGAGTCCCTATCTTGATGTGTGTTGGAAATGATAATCTTACAAATAGTGAGTTGTGGGATGGATAGCGGTGAAGCACTAAACCATTTTGTCTAGGCTTGCTATTGGAAGACTTGGGTTGCAATGCTCAATTTTTTTTCGGGGAACCTTGTTATTGCTCCTTGAGTAACTTGGTGTTGGATTAGTGTTAAATTTGGTCAGAAAGAGAGTGGCATGAGCTTGTCCGTATTGTGAACAAAAGTTAGTGGTGTTAGGTGTTGTAAATCTCTATTGATGGGGTGTGGCATTTATGTTGCATTTTGTCGAATCGAGTTGGCACTTGATATTCACATAAACCTTTGCAGTAGTAACATGGGCATTGCTTATAGTGTTGCTTGATTGATGATCAAGTCATTGTGATTTATATCATATCCATGTGATAATGAGCAATGTGTTTACGAAGTTGCTTGGGTAAATGATGATCAACCCCAAAGTGGTTGATAGAGAAGTTAGTCTATTTGTACGAAGTAGCATTGTAGTAGCTTTGACTGGATTCTCAATGGTGGTCCATTATGCTAAGCTTAAGTTGGTACCTTGTTTCCTTGAGTTTGCCCATTAGGTGTTGGAAAAGGGTTATAGCATTCATTTGCTATGGCTTGTTGATTGATCCGTTAGCACTTGGAGTAGATTGTTGGATGGAAAAGATGTGTAGTTGGGGCATTGACATCACTAACACTTGTGTTAGTGGAAGTGGCATTGTTATTTCGAGTGATGAGGAATTTTCCTTGGACCTTGATTTTCTATATCATTTTTCTTAGTATTTTGGCTTCACATTGGATCTTGAAGGTGATTGAAGAAGAATGTTAGTGCAATGTGGATATCTGAAGATGTGGTCTTTGTGATCAAGCCTTGGGTGTTCACTTTGCACTTTGCGGGTGTCGGTGTTGGATGTCGATTATATAGGCAAAGATCGATGCTTAAACATATTGTTGGATCATGAGAATTTGTGTTGAGGTGAACCTATGTGAAGTTGTTTGTAGAAGGAAGTTGGTTGAGTCTTGAAAGTTTGCAATCCTGGACTGAGAGTCATTCTTTCTTTAGAAATTTTCTACAAATTTTTTTAGACTTCTCCAATGGCTGATCTGTTGATCACTTTGCCGAAAACCATTCCGTTTTCGTAAGCCAGTACAAACTAATGAAGGGGTTGGAGTTGACTTCGGTTGGCTTAGACTTTGGTAGGTAGTTTGTATGATGCGACCCGAAAGGGATGCTGACTTCTGGGGCTAAGGCAATTGAGTTGAATAGAGTCTGGAGTTGGTATAAAAAAGTGGCCGTTGCACTTATCTAAAAAAGGTGACCCTTGTGCCTTTCTTTTGTAGAGTTGTGCTTGGTGGCAAGTTGCATCTTACATTTTGCTTAGACTCTATGAGAGTAGTGAGCTCTCACTGATCTTGACTTGGTCTTGGTGGCCTTGCGCCTTGGCTGAGGATGGTGATGTCTAATTTAGTTGTTTGAGGTTGAGATGTTAGTACCCGTACTATAGCTTTGTCTATAAGGAGGTTGTGTACCGATATGAGTCCATTTTATAGTCTTCACTTTAGTTTCGATTGAGTGTTGATCGTATAACTAGCCTCTTCAAGGCATGCTCAGAGCTAGTGGCTAAATGTTTTAGTGAGCTTATTGTGGTTGAGTTGGATTCGAGTGGTCATTTAGTTTGTGCTTGTCTATGAACTTTTATCTTGTAGCTGGGATATCACATTCATGTTGGACAAGTATATAACTTGATGACAAGAGTTGGTGTTTGGGTCTTGTGAAGGCAAGTTGAGGAGTGATTGTTAGTTGCTTTGCGACTAATGATTACTTGTAGACTTCATCAAGGACCATTGACACTTGCTTTGCTAGATGATGATTTAGCAATGATGGGCTTACTTTACCGAATGGTGTTGCGGAGGATTGTGTCATTAGGCTGGCATGGTTTTTCTATGTTGGCATGTCAATTCCTTTGTCGATATCATTTGGTTACGTTTAGTTTGTAGTGTTGGATCTCATTGAGTTTTGGATGTGGTGATTCACTCCTTGATGATGTGTTATCTGTAACTGAGTTTTGCTGAAAGATTGGTCTTGGATACTAAGTATCTTCGACTTTAGTTAGCTTGGTTGCTAAGAAGTTTTGGGTGGTGATTCACTCTTGCTTTCTTCTTGTTTTGTTATGGTGTTAATTGCATTGAAGTGATGTCTTGTCGTTGACATTGTTGATATTGAGATTCGAGTGAAATGAGATATCCTTCCAAAGATTGATATTAAATTTCATTAGTCTTGATGAAAATAGTGTTGATGATTTGGTTTTAGCTTTGTGTTGTTGGCATTCATGTATTTGCTAGTTAGTAACTGTGTTGACGTTCAAATGAACTAAGTGGCAAGTTGAGTTAGTTGTGTTCTAGACAAGATTGCTTAGTTGAGGTTGATCTTTAGCTTTTCCTTGAAAAGTGATTTAGTCATGGACTATGCTAACTCTATAAGTGGAAGAGTTAGTGATCGATGTTCAAATGGTTGAATCTTTACTGGATTTGAATTGGAATATATTGATCATTGATGATTCTTCTTGTGCTTGTTATGAAGTGACTTACATCTTGCTATAGATGGATTCATGGAGGATCGTTTGGTGATCATTTGTTGAGCATAGCTTTGCTATGTTTAGCTTTTGGATTGATGCAGAAATGCTCTTCATTAGCTTTGCATTATAAAGTTTGGTTTATGGATATGTTG